TGCTTTACTTCTTCAGTGGAAAGTTAGTTCAACTTTTCTGGTCCATTGCTAACAAAGGAGAAAAGTTTCTAGATCTTGTAATAAATAATCAAAATTTATTTTGTTTTATTTTTATAGTCCAGATTATAATGCACACATATAATAATTTATAGATAAGCAATCAATATCAAAAGTTCTAGCTATTTTATCATAATAAATAAAATAGTGTATGTCTCAGTATCTCTAAATTAGGTAAGCATTAGCATTTATTTTGAAATTAACTAGTTCTTGAAAAAAGATACCATCAGACTATCCCAATTAGTTAAGGAACTTATCCTTGAGTAATTGTGGGTTTCTTATTATAAGAGTAACTAATTTATTTGTGGTGTGTTTCTGACTTCAGTATTTTATTATCTGTTTTTAATTAGTAATTTCTTATAGTGAAATGAAGTAGGAAAATACATGTTATTTTAGAATATTGCTGATAACATTTTTTCTAGGCTTCATTCTGTTTTAGGAGTTATAAACATGATGAGGGCAATAAGATTATATGAGACTAGTATTTCTTTTTTTTTTTTAATCCTCATTTGAGGATATTTTTTTCCATTTATCTTCAGATAGAGTGGGAAGGAGAGAGAGAGAAACACTGATGTGAGAGAGACACATTAATCGGTTGCCTCCTGTGTCACCCTGACCAGGGCCAGGGACCAAACCGCAACCGAGGTATGTACCTTTACCAGAATCAAACCCATAACTCTTTGGTCTTCAGACCAATGCTCTAATCATTGAGCCAAATTGGCCAGCACTAGACTAGTATTTAAATAAATTAAATGAAATGTTTATCACAAGTCTGAATTTAGGAAGTTGAAAGGTATAAGTATTTAGAGAGATCGAATTCTGTTTATGATAAATTATGTTCTTATGATTTTGAAATAATTGATTTTCAATGAAAGTAACTAAAATAACCTTTTTAACTTGTATTTCACAAATACTCATAGTATTTTTTTCTCATTCTGTTTTACTGTAAATTTACATACTAGTTTTACCCAAGTTTCTGTTACTGTTTTTATTACCCAGTCACTATTGGAACTAATGCTTTATAACTACTTACGGGCTGTGGTTGAAGTTGTGCTCAACTATACTTGTCTCTTTGGTTTTGGATTCTGCCAGAGGAGACTTACAATTTTTTATTCCTTTAAAGTCAGCTCTTAATATTCCTCTAAGCCAAGTTGTGAAAATGAGAAAAGGATCCACAGGGAGAAACTATTTTACAAGCTCTTAACTTTTTAAAGTAATCAAAGGAAAAAAGCTGGTCTGGAAATGGCATTAATAGTCTTCATTCATAACAAGAGATCAGAGGAAACACCATAGCTTGAGCTATTTCCTTGAATACTTGAGAAGGCCTCCAATAGGAAACAAAATTTACATATCAGAGATAGTACTGAAGTATTTTTAAAAAACTCAGTATTACCTATTATACCTAGTCTATAGAAGTTTACCTTTTGTCAGCATCAGATTACTTTTGATATTGTGTAGTACACGATTCTCATTAAAGACCTTTCAAATGTGCATTATCATTAAAGCTAAAGGGATGGGGAGGGGTACTGATAGATGATTGATGTTTTTTATCTGTACATAACTAGCATAAGAAGTGTGGGTAGAATGCTGTAGAATGAAATACACCATCATTCATATATATTTATAAAATAAACTGGTAAATAATTATTTTCAATATTTTTCTTTGAAAGTCACTTTTCTAAACTAACAACTACAGTTATCCAAATTCATACAAACACTCAGAGACAAGTAGCTCTTAAAATCAGTCTTAAGCCCTGGCCGGTTTGGCTCAGCGATTAGAACGTTGGCCTGCGGTCCAGAGAGACCCGGGTTTGGTTCCCGCTCAGGGCACGTACCATGGTTGCAGTTTGTCCCCGGCCCTGGTTGGCTCGTGTGGGTGGCAACCACTTGATGTGTCCCCTTTACAGCGATGTCTCTCTCTCTCTCTCTCTCTCTCTCTCTCTCTCTCCCCCCCCCCTCCCTCTCCCTCTCCCCCTCTATCTGAACAAAATATCGAAAAATGTCCTCGGGTGAGGATAAAAAAAAAAATCAGTCTTAAATTTATTTATAGATTGATTCACAGTTATGGTTTCAGTTTATTAATGCATTTCTAGACAAAATCACATTAACCTATAAACCTTATAAATATGGCATGTTTTATGTCTTTTGTTTACCATTAACACATTCTTGATAAAATTTAGAACTTAAGAATAAAAATGTTTAACATTTGTTCTTTTGTGAGATGAAATCTTTGCTTGTTAATAACTATTAGAAAGACTAGCAAAGACAAATAATACAGTTATGTAGGTAAAATAAATCTTACTACTAAGTTATTTAAGGAAAGGAACACTTGATTTTGATAAGTAACAAGTGAATGTAATTGAATTTGTGTATGTAATTCCACATAATATATTGGAGAAGAGGTGAAACTTGTAGCATAAAATATGCAAGAGAAAAATTCTAAATAGTTTCAAAATGCATATCATTATTTACTAATACATATTACTGAGATAGTCTTAAAATCATTTTAAAATGTAATCTCTAAATGAAAGAAAATGCTTTTCTGTGCATGTTAATATTCCCTGAGTGGATAGTAATTCTTACTTCTAATTATGCATCCTCTCAAAAAATTACATTTTAGAAAGATGTCCCCTATAAGGTTCTGCCAAATCTCAGCATTGTTCTAATATGTTCTCATTATGAATTAGCATTGTAATGTGTAACTACCAAAAGCACAACAATTTAAATGGCCTGGGACCTAATATCAGAGGCAAGAGGTTAGTGAACAGAGTCCAAGGTGACATAATGGCAGTTGTATTTCTAAATTTCAGAATGGCCATTGCCAACATGCTGTCTTTAGGATCAGCTATCCCATTATCTCTGACATGATTTTATTAGGACCTAGAAGCTGAAATGTAGGCATATTATTGGAAAATTATTAACGATTCTTATATGATACTCTACATAATGGTATTGCTTTTATAATGCCCTCTCTTCCCATAGTTTATAATATTTAGAGAAAAAAAAACAAAAACATAGAGGAACACTGAGTCTGCTAATTAAATTTTTTTCTATGCCTAATTGGTCAAATATAGTTTGGTTCAGTGATTTTATGTAAATATAAACATATATAAAAGAATGAATATTAAAGAAAAGTAGATTCAAAATATTTCTTATGTTCTTATTATTCAGGAAACACTGAAATAAAATGTAAATACAGATAAGTGTCATTAGGAAACGTAACACTGTCAATACAAATGACTGAGCAACATGCCTGTTACCCATTTTGATTTTTCAGTGATGTAAGGACAGAAGAAATAAACTTAGGCTGAATGTCCCTTGCAGGGTTTTACAATTTCAAAATCATACCTATCCCCTGTTTTGTCAACACAAAGCAATGATAACTTAAATTACCTGGCTTTTTGATTTAGTGACTAGATGTTATATAACCAAATATAAAAGTCAGTCTATTTCTGTTTATTTTCATCAAATAATGGTGTGGCAGCCAGTGATCCTGTTGCTCTAGACCAGCGGTTCTCAACCTGTGGGTCGCAACCACTTTGGAGGTCGAATGACCCTTTCAGAAGGGTCACCTAAGACATAACAAAAGCAAAATTACAGTTATAAAGTAGCAACGAAAATAATTTTATGGTCGGGGGTCACCACAACATGAGGAACTGTATTAAAGGGCTGCGGCTCTAGGAAGGTTGAGAACTGCTGCTCTAGACAGTCAGGGAATCATTCCCATTGGCCAAGATGACACGAGGAGGTTCCTACACTGAGCATGCCAAAGGCCAGAAAGATGAATGGATAGGGCCCAAGCACACCAAAAGCTAGCAGGGTGATTGGATAGAAAAAGAAAGCCCTTCCCTCCCTTCTCCCTATAAGAACCCTCGACTTGAGCAGCAAGGTGAGATGGTGTTTGGGGCAGCAATGATCGCACCTGATCATAATTATAAATTATAAGCCACCGCTTACTCCACTCACCATCACCCCCCATGAAAAATGCCATTAACCACAGCAAGAAACGATGGACAATTATTGTGCCCCCAACTACCCTGGAAATTTCAGTTGGAAAGTTTTAATATTTCTAACCTGGCTAAGATTGAGTAAATTCAAAATGCAAGATTCAGTTATAACTTTGAAAGTTAGAGTGTCTGTGAATGCCGGCTAAAAACTAAAGGGCCGTTTTCACCTGGATGAAAACTGGTAGGATTATCCGAGTCACCTCTCAGGGTTGTTAATTCCTATAGTTTGTAAGGATTGTTTGAAAACAAAAAAGGAAAGGCAGATCCAGATTACAAATTATGTTGCTTCAGTATAATTATTAGAAAAAATGTATTCAATGGTTAAAGTTAAAAATACATATTTAACTTTCAAATTTAAAGATCAGGATGCAACTGTATGTGCCAACACTGTCTGATAAAGGCAGCTGACAAAATTTCACTTAATTGCTGTTTGGTTGGTGAAGTTCAGTTTTTCCTCCTTCAATTTCACAAATAAATCTTATTCCTTTGGAGTCAATTTATGTTTCCCAGCATAATGATATATTTTATCTATTCAGCTATGCTCTCTGAAGCCAGCCAGCAATGATCTCACCTCACCTACAATATAAATCTATCAGTGAATAAACAACATCATTTTTATTTCAATGCCAATGACACACTACATGTCGATTTGGCACTTAAATAATTTATTTCTCTTTTGGGTGCAACTGCCAGACTTATTATAGCTCTACTTCTGATATTCATTTCATGTTTAATAGTTCTTTGCCTCATGAGGATGCTTGTCAATCAATTACATTGAAATGTCATTCTGACCTTTTATTGGAAACAACTTGACTCTTTGCTCATTTTATTATGTTTTTTCCATATTAGTTAAATTATAAGCCTTAATTACCAGTATTTAAAAACTTCTTACAAAACTGTGTGCTCATCCACATTCCTGGCACTTTATCTTTACAGAGGTTATCCAGCTGAGTCTGCCCGAAGACCAGAAACTAAGCATTACGGCGGCTACTGTGGGACAAAGTGCTGTTCTGAGCTGTGCCATTCAGGGAGCACTGCGACCTCCCATCATCTGGAAGAGGAACAACATTATTCTAAATAATTTAGATTTGGAAGACATCAATGTGAGTACATAAACAGACGTCGCTTTGTAATTAGTATATTTCATGTGACATACTCTAGACTTCACAAAGTCTAAGGAGCTTAATGCATATTGGATGTAGAGTAGGAGAGAGTTATTGACACATGGTTATATGCATTCCTCTCACCAGAGGTGCACTGTAGATGATTTGAAACGATCTAAATCACTTGTATAGATGCAGTAAGCAGGCTATAGAACACTGTGATGGGTATGAAATCACATCGACTTAAACCACAAAGGTCTTACTTTCAGAATTTCTCTAATTACCAATAATCAATTGCTATTATGGTTGAGCTATACCCTACAGTTTGTGAAATGTTAAAGTGGATAAACAGCTATTTTTGGCTTCAATACTTTATAGTGTGTTAGAAATAAATATTAATCAAACAAATAAAAGAGTTATTTTTCTAGAAGGAAGGGATGTGTTTCTCTACTCTGACTCACTCCTAGAAATTCAGAATCTAAGCTTAATGCAGTGGGGCACAGCTCCAAAGGGGAATCAGAAACAGAACCGACTTCACAGTATTCTGTTGTTTATTTTTTTCCATGCTATCTGCTAAAAGTGAGCATCAAAAAGTGAACATCATCCTAGACATTGAAAAGAAGTAAAAATTTCACGTTGTGGAATGTCTATGGAAATGAGGTGGAGCAATCCTTTGCCTCAGTGATTTTGGGGTTTTATGATCTCTTTGCATATAAATTTTAATTATTTTTATTATCACTCAACTCAGGAAAGCTATCTCTTACCCCCTTATTCTTGCTGCTTTATAAAGAACTGCTAGCACAAAGCCAATAGTCACTCCCATTTGTTGCATCTTATTAATGAATATTCTTGTTTAATGTTCTCAAATGATTCAAAAACAGAAAACTTCTGAAATTTTAATTTTTTAAAGTTTTGATAAAATGTTTCTAAATTTGCTTACATCTGGGAACGTTCCTCAGACAGTATATGGAGAATAATGTTTAATTCTATAAGTTATCAAGAACATTGTAGCATAGAAAGCTGTAACCTCAGGAACATGCAAGATTCTGTGAGAAATACCGCCCTAGACAAAATCTACTTGGGTTTGCTTTATGCCTTGTTCTGTCTGTATTTTATCTTTTATTTATATTTCTAGCCTTACTATCAACGTTTCCACTTTTATTTCCCAGACTCCTATGTATTCTAAGATGCTGGGGTTTGAAAAATCTCAAAATAAGCTCATTTTGGATTTTTTTAAAAGTAAGGAAAGCCCTGGCCAGTTTGGTTCAGCACCCGTGGACCAGAGTCCCAGGTTCGATTCCTGCTAAGGGCACATACCTCGGTTGCAGGTTGTCCCCAGCCCTGGTTGGGGTTGTGCGGGTGGCAACCAATCAATGTGTCTCTCTCACATTGATGTTTCTCTCTCTCTCTCTCTTCCTCCCTCTATCTCCCTCTCACTCTATCTGAAATAAATGCAAAAATGTCCTTGGGTGAGGATAAAATAAATAAAAGTAAGGAAAATATGCTATGTGTGATGTTCTTAGACAAAAGTAGACCTATTTTTGTGCATAGACCTTGTACATTAATTTGCTTGCTTCCTCATTCCTGATTCTTTTCTAGAAACTTTAGATTTCTAGAAAAATGATTATAAGCAAGTTAGATTTTTAAAATAAATGTAAATATTAGATAAATTCTAGAATCAATAAATAGATTTTTTTTATCAGATAAAGTTATTTTGGATACATTTTATAAAGTAGATACATTTTGAGAATTTTAGAAACACTTTCAATATTTAAAAGTTTCCATTTTATTTCAAGCCATATTTAATTAAGTTGAATAAGCATACATACCCTACAGTGCACACATAACTACCAGCCTTTTACATAAACTGCAGAGAATATCTAAAGGTATCTTTGAAAGAAGGAATATTTCATTTCCCAATATTTCCCTGATGTTTCCTGTTAAGTACTATGACATCAACTGTCAACTTCCCTAAATACATTTAATGCATCTAGCAATATAGATAAAATGTGAATTAAAGCAGTTTATATTAGTTATTGTATTTTGTTTTATATTTACTCCTGCTTCAGTAAGACCTGCACCGTGTAAATGACTCCAGTCATAGACGCAGTGGGTGGTCAGTGATCAGCTTCAATGGCGTCTTAAGTTGGCCAGTCCCAATATGCTGCTTCTGCATGTTTCCTGGCTTCTCATTCCCCAAGGCTGGCACTTTGCTCTTCTGGGTATTCTACGAGCCTCCTAATGTCTCTATTAAATTCCTTTTCTGCTTAAAACTAGTTATAATGGGTTCCATTGTTTGACATTCATAATGGGTCTAATTAATTTTTGGGGATCTACCATGTTAAGAAACATCTATAATGATATCTCCTTAAAATGTATTTTTTGTTGTTAGGCATGAATCTGATGTGTTGAAAAAACAAGATGATTTTACTGTAGTAAATTACATTCTCACTTTGTTTATTAGCAAAGAAGATAAACATGATTTCAGAAATGAATCACTCTTTTATCCTTTTTCTATTTTATCTATTTTTCACAAAAATGGGTTTAATTCCCGTTAAATTATGTAAAGTTAAAATTATAAGCACCTTTCACGTCAAAGGGAATCAGTGACAATTTGCAATAGTCTTTCTGATTCTTTAACATACCCAAGATAAGATTTAGTATATATTTCCCTAGTCAGTACATAAATACCTTCTGATTGAAAAAGATTAAAATAATATAATTTTTAAAATAGCATAACTATTACTAATTTTTATAGGCACCTATACCCCTTCTTACATGTGGAAGAAAAGCCCTTTCATGAATTGCAAAGACAATTTTATTTATTTAATAGAATGGTTTCATATACTACTTATTACCTTACTACCTCATTGTCACATTGGCCCTAAAAACACCTCCATGAAGCAGGGAATCCTAACCTTCATTTTCACTGTAGGAATTTATGCTGAGAGAGTTGAGCCCAAGGGTGTTGAGCTAATAAGCGGTGCAGCTGGGATGTTCACAGGACCTAGTTTACTCTGGATCATAAACTTAATCTCCATGAGATTTTTGCAGACTTGTGTTTGCCCTTTGGAAATTACATTCCAAATAATGTTGGTCTCTATATATTACAAATAGATTTAATATTTTCTGCTATTATGTTTGAGAGTGATTGATATTCAATTAATGTTTGAAGCTTTTCATTTTTTCTGTCTCCTCTTTTGTACCAAATGAATAAAAGGACATCACTAAATTGTTAGGGAGAATATGACACAGTGGTTTGCAAGAAGGGCTGGGGACACAGTCTGTTTGGATTTCAGTTAATAGTCAGTCTCTTGGGAGTGATGTGCCCTCAAAGCAAGTTATTTAACTTTCCTATGCCCTCGCTTCCTAATCATAAATTGAAGATAAGAATAGAATAAACTCATTGTGAGTGTGAGTGTGTGTGTGTGTGTGAACTACTGTGATAAGCCTTTTAAACCTAGTACACTTGCCCTGGCCGATTTGGCTCAGCGGATAGAGCGTTGGCCTGCGGACCAGAGAGTCCCATGTTTGGTTCCTGCTAAGGGCATGTACCTCGGTTGCAGTTTGTCCCTGGCCCTGGTTAGAGTCATGTGGGTGGCAACCAGTCCATTTATCTCTCTCACGTTGATGTTTCTCTCCCTCTCTTCCTCCCTCTCTCCCTCCCGCTCTATCTGAAAATAAATACGCCCTGGCCAGTTTGGCTCAATGGTTGAGCCTCGGCCTGAGGACTAGAGAGTCTCAAGTTTGGTTCCTGCTAGGGGCATGTACCACAAAAAAAAAAAAGAGTCTGAAAATAAATGCAAAAATGTCCTCGGGTGAGGATTAAAAAATAAATAATAAATAAAACTGGTACACCCTGAGGCTTTTTGTAAATGTTCAATTAAATTAGGTTCTTTGTTTTCTCTTCTCTCCTCCTTTTCCTCCTCTTTCTCGTCCTCCTCCCTCTCCCTTCCTTCTAATATATGTTTCAAGGAGCAAAGATTTGCAGTCTGCCTACAACAATAGAAATTCAATTTTAGGATACATGTAGTAATAAGGAAATTTGGAAACTCACAAGAAATACCAGAACTAAATTTTATCCAATTATAGCCACTAAAACCGGAAGATATTTTTCTATTCAATCCTGCTTTAGGAATCATGCTAATTTATCCTTATGTTAACAATCTGGTATCAATCCCTGCTCTAAAGATCATTAAATTCTATCAGCGTCTATATATTCATCTATTATTCTTTGTATGTGTGTCTTCAGTCCTCTTTCTTCCCAAATTTCTACAAAGGATAATTGGCTTAGTTTGATCATCCTGTTTTGGGTGGAAGCTGGCACACAAACTACAACTCTGGTATAGTGATTGAGCCTGGGTCCTATCCTGGTCTGCAGATGAGAGCTACGAGGTATAGAACAGGACTCTCCAGTTGACTACTTCTTTGCAGCTGGTTCCAGTTTGGATGTCTCCTTGGTTAGGCCAGCTGAATTAAGGAAGGGAAGGCAAATGTAGAGACAAAGATCTAGATTTGAGAGAAACATCATTGGAGGATTGAACTGACTGAGGATTGGCAGTTGAGAGTGAAAGAAGGAGAGGGATTAAAATACAGCACTATTGCCCGGCCGCTGTAGTAGCTCAGTGGTTGAGCATCAACCCATGCAACAAGAGGTCGCTGGTTCGACTCCTGGTCAGGGCATATGCCCATAGGTTGTGGACCCAATCCCCAGTGGTGGGCATGCAGGAGGCAGCCAATCGATGTTCTCTCTCATTGATGTTTCTATTTCTCTCTCCCTCTTACTTCCTCTCTCTATAAAGTCAATAAAGAGAGAGAGAAAAAAAATACAGCACTATTTTAGGTGTGCTCACTTCACCAAGAAAATTTTCAGTAAGGTTTTGGACAGTAGAGATTTTATTTAAGTCTAAAAATCCTAGTCATTACTGTGTGTCTTATTTATAATATCTGTAACTTTTCACCATTCATTTAGTTATATTATAATCTGGTCTTCATTCAAC